CAGGTTTGGGCGTGCGCTGAGATGGCGTGGTCACACTGTACTCAATACAAGCATAACCCAGTATAAGGTTATAACAATCTCTTAGGGTTTGTAGTCCAGCTTGCCCTCGGCCTGGGTACATAATTCAGTCACCGGACTCACGGCGTGCACTGCAAATACCAAGTGACAAAACTGACAATTCCGTATTGAATACCAATGGATTAGATCCTCCTGCTCTGATTGAACTCGCCCCTGCATAATCTGCTGTTCAACCGCATCTGAAGAAACAAGTACTTAAAGGAACCAATTGTCCCGCTCAACGAGGAAAGAGAAAAAGTACTAGCAGTCAAAACTGGTCCAACTCATCGCAACCTCGGTCAGCACCTGTGAAGAAGAAGAAAAAGAGTACAGTTATTGTTCTTGATGTAAGTCATCTGATCTATCTCACCTCTTATCATATGGAACTTCTCGGATTTCCTTTTTGTCCCTGTTTCTTCTCCAAAACTGTCACTCTTTTAGGATTACAATGTACCCACTGGCCTTGATCTCACCAAGATTCCAACATTGAAGTAGTCAAGACACCTGTTTTCAAGCAAGATCATGGTTGGTTTGTTGTACTGTTGGAATACTATCACAATCCTATTCATATGAGAAAAGAGGTATGTCTAACTTCTCATTTCTTCTTTTCATTATCCTGGATATTACACTAATGTTTGTCCCTTTGTAGAGTGGCAATGATCCCGGTAGGTACAAGTGCAAGTACTGTCACCAATACTTTGCTAGAGGAAAACAAAGCTGTTACAACTTATACTTACATCGGGATGGTGTAAAGGATTGACCCTCAGGCCCTCAACAACATCTCACTATCAGAGATGGGCATGATCTACCTCAAGCCTGGCAACAACAGCAGGATGATATGGTCAAATTCGCCTCTAGCAACCCAAAAGCCACTCTGGATGCCTTCCTTTTCCAATTGACTTTCAGTGTGGACCTTCTCAACATGGTCTTAGTGTTCTGGATCTTACGTCACACGCTACTTTTTTCCCAATTTCATGATTCACCTCTTAGAGCAGCTTTCAAGCTGTCTAATTGATTGGCAAATCTCCAAGGAACCACATGGGCCTCTCAAACTGTGCAAGTATTCATCGGGACCTCTCTCAAGCAGTTATTGAGAAAATTCAGGTATGTCTTATCCTGTTCCTTTTCGCATTTGTTTTTTTCAAATTGTTACTGATTCCTCTGTTCATCATTAATTGTGTTACAGTCAAACAAGGGCAAATTCTGTCTTATTTATGATGTTTGGACAACCAAGGGTTGTCATAAAGTGTATATAGGTGTCTCAGCCACATTTATTGATGATGATTGGTGATTTCAGACTCAGCACCTTACTCTGAAACTTGTCACCTGGCACCACACTGGCCGTCTCCTTTCTCAGCTGGTTGGAAGATTTTTAATCACCAACGGCTTACATCAAAAGTAAGTCTCTCATCTAAGTCAACCTATCTTTATTACTTGATTTCTCTTCATATGTTTTCAATTCATCCAACCGTAACAAATCCAACTTGTCTGTTTGTTATGTTGTGGCTCAGACAACCAATTCAGGCATTGTGAATGCGGCTATGGCTAATAAATTATTGACTATGTTCAGTGAAGCTTCCAAACCGGTGTTTTGGGACTTGGCTGCCAACCAGGTCAAGTGTTATACACACAAGATTGGCCTGGTTGTCAAAGCAGGACTCAAGTCCCTAGGATTGTGAGCCGGCCACATAAAACCTACCACTCCACCGGGTGCTACATTACCACCTCCTACCATTACTCTCAATCAGGGTGATGACAACCTCCAATTTGATTCTTGTGATGAGGTGCAAGGAGATTCAAGTGGATTGCCTATCAACAGCACATTTGATCATGACTCCAACACTGGTGGAGAGGACTCCTTGTTTGCTAAGGCAGTTCACAAAGTAAGCTATCAATATACAGTTGAACCAGTCTAGTCTCAACCACAGGCCGGCCCCAAGACCCAAATTTTGGCCTCTCCAGAATACCTTGGAGGCCCTCCGGAAGACCAGACTTGAGCACTTAAGTACTGAGCTTAAGTACTTAAGTACTCAGGTTAAGTACTTAAGTACTTAGGTTGAGTACTTAAGTACTTAGGTTGAGTACTTAAGTCCTTATGTTAAGTACTTACGTACTTAATATTAGGCCGCCTAAGGTACCTAGACCCAAATACTGAGGTTTTGGGTTTTTTTTAAAAAAAACAATTGGCCCATCAGATCAACTTTTCAAGTCATTCCTGACAATGACACCATGTAATAAGCCCAAAGATGACTTATTACATGATGTTTATCAGTATGAGTCATGTGTATAAATTTCTGTAACAAAATTTCGTTTTTGCAGAGCAGTCGTGGTTGAGACTAGAGTGGTTCAACTGTATATATATTTTAACCTTTCCACCTAGGCCTGACACTTTATCATCTGATCTAGGCCAAGAAGTTCAACATTTTATGTACCAGAAGCTTGGTGAGGTGTCAAGAGTTTCTGGCCAAGGCTGCACAGTTGGGGTACAAGGGCTGCTCCCCAATCTCTGGCTGGGGCCCGGGGTGCATTGGAATATCAATGCTGACTACCTCAAAAGGCTCTCAGATGCGCACAATGTTAGTAAAAATTTAATTTTTTGTTTGGACTTCCTCTCTTTCTCATTTTTTTTCTCTTGTTTGGTAGGTCATGGATGCAATTCTCTTAAGTGATCGTAAAACCCATTATTATCAAGGTTTAAACATACTGGTGAGTAATGGGACTTGATCAAGACCTTTGTCAAAATCCTTGAGGTCAGAGTCCATAAACATATTTTTGTTTCCATTTATCTTGATTTACATATTCCCCATCTCTCTGCAGGTCTTTCTGTAAGCGACCAAACACATGGAAGGCAACTCTCCAACCGGCTGTATCTTGCTCACTGAGTACTCTTGGATTTTCCTTGAAATCACTCGACTAGAGACCAACTGCGCTAATCCAGACCTCAAGTACATGCTCCAGTTGATGTTTACCAAACTTGAAGTATATCAAGAGGAGGCTGTGGGCTCAGATGTGATTGTCTTGAGTACAATCTTCAATCCTCATCTCCAAATTAGATTCTTTGACTTCAATTAACCCAATGATATTGCCCAAGCCAAAAATTTGTTTTACTCTGTATTCAACAAAGCACTTGAAACATGGCCCAAAGATCCTATCAGCTCAGATTCAGAAGATGTAACCCAAACTTTGCCTCCTTCCATTTCAAGTCACACTGGATTTTCCAAGTTTGATGTATTTGCCACTCAAGTTACTTGTCAAGTGCCTGCTGACAAACACAAGAACAAATTGGTTGAGTACATAGAAGGTGCCCACTTAGTACTAGCTGGTCAAAGTGAACTCAACTGGTGGAAGGTCAGTTTTTTAATTTTTTTCATCTGATAGTGTTCCTTGCTTACTTGTAGGAGCATGAAAAAGATTTCCCTGTACTTGCATCTCTTGCTTGTGACTATCTGGCATTATCAGGCACATCTTGTCCATGCAAACGCACATTTTCTTCCGCGGCAGATATTGTGGTGCCTAGTTGTGCATCATTGACAGGCTAGATGATATCAAAGCTTGTAGGAGTGCGCGAGTGGTTGAAGTTGAAGATACAACTATCAGGTAAATTTGCTGAAGCTGCAGCTTATATCCTAGCTTAAAAATCTTCTATCACCAAGGCCAAGAAGAAGTAGTTTATCCTTTCTTCAAATTTTTCTTATCTCTTACAGAAATAGCTCTCATAAAATCAAAAACAAATTGTGGATATTTTTTTCTTCTTCCTGCCTCTTGTTTGCTTTTCTATTCCACAATGTTCCCTTGACATTGACACAAAACTGAAAGCAAAAAAGGGATAAAATGTATAAAGGATTTGAGATATGTTGCTTTTTGTTCAAGGTGTTTGTTAGTTTTCCAGTCGATCTTTTGTTGGATCCACTGCGAGGCCAATTGTTTACTTCGCAGCTCTTTTGTTTTCTTTGCTTGCGACTTTTTGTTGGATTTTGCTTTTGATATCAGTACTCAATGGAATTCAGTCCTCATATTGGCTTATAAAAGACACACCTAGCTCTCTCCAAAGTTTGATTTGCATTGCATTACACCAACACCATTTCTAACAGATCACAACTTCAACATCTCATCTATTTTTAGACATTTTTTTGTTTTTTCCCCTTTCAAGTCTCAATTTTTGATCCTTGTCTCCCCACTCCAAGCTGCCCTTGATATCAACACTTGGTCCACTATTGGAATTGCTTATCATTGTTCCAAGCAACACCACCGCGCTCCGCTCCGCTGCGCTATAAATAGCATTTTTGCCAGCGGAGCGATCCGGCGCTATGAATAGTTCCAAATCGCTACGCTTTAATTTCAGAGCCGCTATGGCTTTTCAAAGCGGTGCGGCAAATTGCCCCACTCCGCTTTGCTATGCTCACATTTTGGCCTTGGTAGTGCTCCAAAGCGCGTTCAGGTAGGTTTTTTGGGCCAATTTAATGTCCTTTGAGTAATTCGTACACTTTGGCCTACATACGCACCCCCAACAATCGTCAAATCAATTTTCTACATAGAGGTAACACAAATGAGATTGGCACACCGTGTCGGTAAGGATAGTATCTAATCTAGATCTTCGATCGACCAGCTTACACCATTGTTTCCATGCATAACCATCCTTTAATTTAACATCTTCTTCCTTACAAGCTTGAAATTGAATGAAACTTGCGTACTCGAAAGTAGCACTGGAAAATCCAATTATCAGATACCAAATGATTTCCTTTGGTCCCCATCTTTTATTAACCAATCAAACTAATTGTGGTAAAACTAAATCCAGTTAAAATCAATTGGGTATCAATATGAGATAAAATCACAGTAGATTTGACTCCTACTTTTAAATCAAATTCTTTGGCTTGATGTGCATAAATTATATCATAAGTGATGGTCCAAGCCACACATCCAGAATAAAGTGGTAATGATATCTTTCAATCCGTGGCTCCTAAAACTACTGATGAACCAAGTAAAGCACCCTGGTTGAATGCAAATCCTAAACATCAAGAAAGAATTTTATACTGCATTAGTTTAATGAGACAATGTGAATTGATCTGAATTCGTAAGAACAACATTAAAAACGTACCGAGTACTAATCGAGGCCAATAAATGATACGTTTCATAAGAGGGTAAGTGACAACCAAGAAGAGTGAACAACTACCTACAAGGATACCATAAGGATTAAGTTGAAGTAAAATACCTAAACCAACACTAAGTTGTAATCCAAGCCAAGTGATAGCTTTAGGTATAGTAATCGAACCAGAAGGTAATGGTCTATCTTCAGTTCTATTAACTTTTGAATCGATTTTTTGACCCCAAAGATCATTAATTGTACAACCTGCTCCTGTCATTACAAATGCACCTCAACCGAAGATTCCTAATTGATATATTAGTTGACTTGGTAGTAATAAGATTGAAGTTGATGCTAAAGTGATTGAAGTTGCACATGATAAAATTGATAAAATTGAGCCTATCGGTGATTGAATTCTCAAGATTGCAAGGTATGGTTTGATTGTTTGTTTTGATCAATTGAATCGGTCTGTTATCGTTTGATGAGAAGTTAATGATACTTTTCTTGTCTGAGCTGATTTCTCTTCAGTTTGAATTCGATTGATATCCTGTTTTTGATTTTGATCGGGTCAAGTGGAATGGAAATGAAGTTTTGATAAATTTTGACATGAACTTGACAATTATATCGCTCTGACAGATATATCGCTCTGAGGCGCTAAGACATATCATAGCACAGCGAATTATCGCTATGCAGTGCGCATGAAAATTCGGTATGTGAAATTCGATTTCACAGATAGCTATAGCTAAGCGCAACCCGCGCTATAAGGCCAAAAGGGAAGCGCGGGCGGAGCGCTCGCTCCGCTGCCGCTCCACTACCGCTTTTTTGGGCGGAGCGGTGGTGGTGTTGTTCCAAGCTTGGTCCTCTTTTCTTCTGGCTCTTAGTATTTTGAGTGCACTGTCTGATTATACACAATCTCAGTGTTTGTCCATTGCAAGTCAATGTTCATCAAAGTTGGCAAATTTACAAATCATCTCTTTTTCCCTTTTCCTTTCCTTTTCTTTCTCACTGAAATTGTTGAAAAAATTCAAGGAACTTTCTTATAAATCTTAACAATTGTATCTGCACAACAAGTAGTGTGCTTTTTTTTATGATAATCTTTCTAATAACCACGTGCAGTCTTAGTTCAAGCAACTGAGTTTGATTGGGAACCAAACTTAGTAGCTGTTTATCTAAAACTAATCTTCTTGGCATGTGATGGCCGCCAAGAAGGGATGTCTAGGTCTCTTGTGCTAAAAGGAAGGGTTGTAATAGAATGAATTACCAGGGTGAATCAGGGATCATGGGAATTCAAGATCAATCATACTAAAAAAGTAGATCATTACACACACAGATTTTATTGAAATAATCACATGTGATCATCTACGGATCAGTGATCAGCTGTTAACAGGAGATGCTCACATCAGCCTCCTTGTTGTATTTTTCTTATGTTGCTGTGCGCTTTCTGCTTGTTCTGACGGGTATATCAACCCTTGCTTTTGTCTTAGTTCTTTTTGTTCCTCATCCTTTACAATAACAAATCAAGTTTACATAGCTTTATAAACCAATCACTATGTCCATATCACTGTTTGAAAGCCCTTACAAGTTCCTTTTAAGCCCTTTTACAGTTGGTAGCCACAGATCTGGTCTTTTTTCTTATATCTCTCTCTTGATTACTATTGTCAACTGCTGTCCTAAATATGTAACTCATATGTAATCAACCTGTACTAGTTATATATCAACTATTACAAGGTTATTTCCTTGCTCAATAAGCTTCTTTATTGACAAATTTCATCTGTTGGGGTAATCTTAAAGTACCTCTTCTGCTCATTTGTCATTTTGATTTTTGCTGTTGTTCTTTCTTCTCAGACTCGAATTTTAGTTTCTGTCCTCTGTAAGTTGATTGGAGAATTCAACATGGTTTTATTCTTTTGTCCTGGTCAGGTACTTTATATCGTTACTCATCATATATGTCCTCCATGTGTTATGGCGGCGCCCGCCGCCCAATTGGCTAGTTGTTAAGAAAAGATTTACTCTCTTTCCATACAGATGGGGAAAGAGAGTAATATTGAGATACACTTGCACATCATATATCAACTAATCATTGTGCACAAGCAAACTTAAGAATGTCTAGATGTCTTTGATCACGGTTCTATGCCAAAGATCTGAAAGCATGCGCTTTAGCACAACTATGACAACCTCCAACAACTTTTCTAAGAAGAAGACTCTGACCTGAAAGCATGCGCTTTAGCACAACTATGACAACCTCCAACAACTTTTCTAAGAAGAAGACTCTGACCTAGAACAGAAGATTCAATTTAATAGATGATACGTTTAGTTAGTTAAGTTATCTCTCAGTTGATAACTGATCTCTGAGTTAACAAGAGACTGATGTTTTCTCTTCCCAAAGATGGGGAAGAGAAGTCAGTTGAATTGATCAAAGGACATTATAAGTAATCTACTAGTCAATACGTTGGGGCAATATAATGATGTAATTTCTCTTTTCGTTTTTATGACGTATTCTGGTTTATCTTTCCACACTACTCTCGTAATTCCTCTTTTATCCAATTTGTAACTTTTCTTATTTCCGTCGATTGCACACTTCAACACCCCCCCTCAATCGACATAACTAAAACAATTAAAATATCCCTACTCATTTACCCTCTTCATACCTATTCTTCTTCTGAACTCATTAAACGGACCAGGATGTAGAGGTTTTGTCAATAGATCCGCTATCATATCTTCTGATGCACAATACCCAAGCTTAAGAATCCCATCTCTAACCTTCTCCCTCAGCCAATGATGATGTATCTCTATGGCCTTTGTCCTACCATGCATAACCGCGTTTTCTGAAATATCAATTGCGCGCAAACTATCACAATTTAGATAATAAGGAGTTTCTTGACGTAAACCAATGGAATTCAAAAATAAAGCCAACCAGATCATCTCGTCTTCCGCTTCATTTGCCGCTCTGTATTCTGCCTCAGTCGATGACTTCGCCACTGTCTGTTGTAATCGACTACGCCAACTAACAGCACCCCCACATAACAAGAAAACATACCCAGTTGTTGAGCGTCTCGTACTCTTATCACCGGCCCAGTCAGAATCAGCAAAGTGAATTGGTAAAGCATATCCATTATTACTCGTTACGCTAATTGATGGAGTCTTTTTGTAATGTATACAGTAATCCAGAGTGCCGTTTAAATACCTGAGAACATGTTGAAGGCCTCCCAATGACGTAAGGAGGGATTGTCTAAATGTTGCGACAAGCATCCCACGGCATACGTGATATCCGGTCTAGTACATTGAGATAAGTACATCAAACTACCCACTCCGCTCCTATAGGGTAAGTTTAATAAGCTGAATGACCTGGCCTCGTCCGGAGTAGATTTGGTGAGTTTGGTGCCACCCGGAAAAGGAGTTGAAGAAGGTTTACTGTCGGACATTCCAAACCGTTCTAGTAAAGATCTAGTCATGGCTTCCTGACCTATGATGTAATGGTTATTGCTTGCTCGTACAATTTGAATGCCGACGACGCAAGTAGATATTCCTAAGTCCTCCATTGGCCAGAAGCTTCCGATTTCCTTCTTGAATTCCTCAAGGTTGTTTCCGGTGATTGCTAGATCCTCGACGTGTAAGTAAAACAAACAAATTTCATCTGATCGTCTCCTGATATAGACACATTCATCCGCCACAGATTGGATAAAACCAGCCTTCAGACATTTTGACTTAAACTCATCGTTCCATTCCCTAGCTGACTGCTTCAACCCATAAATTGCCTGTAGTAATTCACAAACCATATCTTCACCATCTATTTCGTAACCCTCTGGTTGTTCCATGAAGATTAAGTGTTTCAATCTGCTGTTAAGAAAGGCGGCGATAGTGTCCATTGAATGAATAGGAAGACCGTGATAACTAGCGAAAGCCACGACACTTCGAAATGATGCTGGCTTTCCTGTAGGAGCAAATGTCTCGTCATAATCAACGCCGTAGGTTTGGGTGTAACCTTTCGCGACAATTCGTGCTTTGTGTTTATTAATAGTTCCGTCAGGATTGAGTTTAACTTTAAAGTGCCATTTACTTCCAACAACTGGTTTATCGGAAGGCCTAGGTACCAATCGCCACACCTTCTTGTCCGCCATGTTTTTCATTTCTTTGTCACATGCTGCTTTCCAACTTGATTTGTCCGAGCTGTTCATGGCTGATTTGAAACTGTGTGGCTCTTGAACTAGCCGAACCACCGACCCAACGGCAAACGTGTATGGAAAAGAGTCATGCAAATCGATAAAAGCACCTTCATCGTTCCAGTAAGCAAAGCTAGCCGAGGGGTTGTATCGTTCAGGTGCGTGCCTCTCCCGGTCAGATCGTCGTAAGTTTGGACCAGGAGTTTGATCGGTGTCATGAATCTCATCCTCAATAGGGTTGGGTTCAATTTCAGATGGGTTTGTCTCCTGGTGCATTCCTTCACCACCAGAGAACTGGACGTCGTCGTCTTGTACCCCAACATGAGGTTCAAGAACGGAAGGATCCGGATTGGGTGGGTCATTGTCTTCCACAAATGAAACCTCAGAGAAGTCGAGTTGTTTAAGTCTTTTGAATGGAAAATTTGTTTCTTTAAATATGACATCATGAGAGATAACAATTGCATTAGTATCCAATATGAAGACTTCATAGTTTAAATTATGCTCGGTATGTCCTAATAAGATTGACTGTCTTGAGACTTGATTGAACTTTCCACCCCTGAGAGCTTTCCTGATCAAGACATAGCTAAGGCAACCAAGTGGTCTAACATGAGATACATCAGGTTGACGATTATTCCACAACTCGAAGGGAGTCTTCCCAGTTGGCAAAGAGGATGTGATAGTTCTATTCTTCAAGTAAACAGCAGCCTTGATAGCATAAAGCCAGAACTTGATGGGGAGATTAGCTTCAATCATCATTGCTCTTGCCGGTTCAGTGATGGTCCTGTTAGACCTTTCAGCTACTCCGTTCTCCTCAGGAGTGTAAGTCGCGGTCGTTCTCAGATAAATACCAACCTCTTTGCAATAAGGAACCATGATGTTGTTGATAAATTCGTATCCATTATCTAACGTGATTGTTCTAACTTTGGCATTGCATTGCCGTTCAACCAAGGTAATGTACTGGCGGATCTTATTGAAAACAGCATCAGCCGACTTGGTGTCCAAACCCACAACATGGCGATAACGTGAGTAATCATCGGTAAATAACATGAAGTAGACACTCCCGCATATAGCAGGTGTTCTGATAATCCCGCTGAGATCTAGGTGAACATTTTCTAAGAGA